GTACGCTCTCATTCGATTTCCTCTAACCGTCTAAATTTAGAAATTCGTTCTGATAGTTATCCTTCAATTAATTTCAAGTAATGTCATTCTCGGGGAAGCCCACACTATCAATTAATTGATTTACCAACGAATTAAAAATGGAGGCCTTAGGAATTTAAATTATCTTAACTTTAAATATCCTTCTCAACTTAGTATTTAAAAAAGGATTTTTAATATATATTCATGCAATTCTAAGTAACCCTATGCACACAAGGCAACAATTAATTCCATGCATGAATAAACAAATAAATAATTAATGTCATAAATAAATATCCACTATTATGGCCAATTAAATATTTATTATTCTTGGATTAGGATTTCTTTCCTAAACCAACTGGAACTCCCACTCCAGTAGAATCCCGGTTGACTTGTACTGCAAGTTTCACAAAACCTCCACCATGGATGTTGCCAAGCTACCAGCCGCGGCCGCGCCGGCCAGCCTTGGCTCCCGGCTCCGGTTTCTTCCTTGCTTTGTCCGTCGAGGCTCTTTGGATCTTTGTGAAGGCCCGGTCTCCAACGGTCGATCACAATTCGAAAAATATAATTTACAAAATTACATAAATCGATTCCTATATCCAGCGAGTGGATGTACATGCCTTCTACTAATAAATTAAACTATCCGGTCAACCCCCAGGCAATAAATACAAGAATTCATCCATAATTCCTCGACAATCCCGAGGCATTAAAAACAAATTTAAAACCATACAACCAACCATCAATTAAGCACAAGCACATAAAAGGGTGGCCATAATAGTGGATTAACTACTTCCTGCAAAACCAAGTTATGCAAATAATCAAATATATATGGCTGCGCTTGAGCACACATAGACAATATAAGCCGTTTAATCCGGATCTTGTACATAACGGATTAACCTCGTGCTCTGATACCAATTGTTGGAACCCATGAGGATCTCGATATGCACAAATCACGGACAAACTGTAATATCCCGACTTTTATCAGTATAATAATATTTCAGTTCCGATATTGTTTTTTTCGGAATTAATTATTTTCAGTTATTTCAGTCAAAAATTACCAGAAACAATTTTCGACGTACCGTTTACGTTCGGAATAATTTTGGTAATTGAGTGTTATGCTTAATTATTTGATTAAGCCCTAATTTGTGATTAATTGAAATTAATCACCAAGATTAGTAGCATTAGCCGTGCACATTGTGTGCCATCGCCGTGTACATCATGTGTTAGTAGCCATGCACTTTTGTCATGTTGCATCTTGGTGTTTTGTGCATAGATTCCCCCAACATTGCCCTAAGAGACCGTGCGCCCCTTTTTGTCTCTTTGCTAGCCATTTTGTCCTCTTCATTTCCATGAGTAATGGCATAGTGCCGTGCATGTTGTGAGATTTTGTCCATCTCCTCTTTTGT